CCCCAAAACCCCAAAACCCCAAAACCCCAAAACCCCATGTGTATAAATTTGATGTAAGGGCAAAAGGTTAATTCTGATTTAAATAGTAAGTATGTATTATGGCTAAAAAGGAGGGTAAAGTGGATATATAGATCAATGGGAAAAGTTTGATTTTAATGGTTGAAAAATAAAACTCTTCATAAGTATATAATTAAAGGTAGAAGTTCATTCAATAACTTTGTCATTCGTCATGTGGGTAGATGACACCGCCAGCTGGGATATTGTAGACGTATCTGGTTGGTCTAACGTAGACTGGGCCGTCCCAATATTGTTCAACGTGTGGTTGGTTCATTTGTTGTTCATAATATGCCTTTTGAGCGGCGGCAGCTTGTCCTTGCATAATTTGGTTGTACATACCAGCACCGGTCTCACCGAGTCCTGAGATAATTTGAGATCCCTTTTGTGCAATATCAATTGGGTGCATTGGCTTATAAGTGCTAGTTCTTCCGCTAGATCTTGATCCGGATCTGAATGCTTCAACTTCGATGTCGTCGTCTTCCTCGTCCTCAGGCATGGCTTGAACGTGGTGAACGGCTCCATAGATACCAGTGCCCATTCCAACGAGGTCACCAGCAATACCAGTGGCTTCACCGAGAGCTCCGAGCCATCCTTCAACATGGGGGATTTGAGTGGCACCATAGATGTTGAGGCCAATACCTGCAAGATCAGTGGCAATACCACCAATATGTCCAAGGTTGTGGCTGTTCAACTTGAATTTCTCAACATGTGGCATTTGGGTAGCACCATAGATTGAAGTTCCCATATTTACGAGATCACTAGCAATACCGGTAGCATGGCCAAGGTTGTGTAGGGAGATGCCTCTCTCGACATGTGGTTGATGGACGGCGCCATAAATGCTAGTACCAATGTTGACAAGATCACCTGCAATACCGGTAGCATGGCCAAGATTGTGGAGTGAGATGCCTCTTTCAACGTGTGGTTATTGAGTTGCACCATAGATTGAGGTTCCAATGTTGACAAGATCACCAGCAATACCTGTGGCATGGCCAAGATTGTGGAGTGAGATGCCTCTTTCGACCTGTGGATATTGAGTTGCTCCATAGATTGAGGTTCCAATGTTGACAAGGTCACCTGCAATACCGGTGGCATGGCCAAGTTTATGTAGTGAGAAGCCTCTTTCGACGTGTGGGATTTGAGTAGCACCATAGATGGCAACACCAGCTTGAGTGAGATCATTAAGAGCACCGGTAGCGTGGTGGATTTTGCTCCAGGATGATGATCTTTCAACTCTTGGATCAGCTGATCTTGATCTTCTTTTCATGATTCCTTGGAGGTGGTCCTTGATGAGAGAGACGTCTTGCTCAGCAGCAATGAGATCATGTTCAAGAGCATGAACTAATTGAGCTTCGTTCAAAACCTTTTCAGTTGCAACAACTGATCCTAACATGAGAGCGCCAGCAATAGTGATAAACTTTTTCATTTTATGATTTGAAGATTTAGATATTTTATTATAAATGGAATTTAAGCTCTCAATTAAATACTCCTTGAAGTCCTCAAAATAATATCTTTCTATAATATTTTATTTGAGAAATATCCTATTAATTATTATTTTTTGCGATTCTTTATTTATAGCCACTTATGGGGTTTTGGGGTTTTGGGGTTTTGGGG